AAAGTTTCGTCATACATCATTAATACTATTCTAATATTAATATTGATAATTATTGTCTGACCAATTATAAATAAAAACAGATTTTTGTAGTATAAAAAAAATTTCTATGCGGAGGAGTATCAATACCATCAATATATGATGATGACAATGGTGGTGGTGTTTTTGTTGATAATTTTACATGTGAACTAATAAACATTTCCGATACAAGGTACAATAGTTCATTGGCTTCAAATTCCAATGATTTAATATAAGGCTTTAAAAAACAAATTTTATGTGGAAGTATTTTGAAAAAGTGAAAGATTCAAATGGAAATGAATTCGTAATTTGTAAATTAAAAAAATTGTTAAAAATAAAATATTAATAAAAAAAAATTTAGTTACTAAGGATTTTTTTGGACGATCCAATATCTAAGTCGCTACGTATTTCTTTTAATGGGAAAATTGGCCGAAAAAATAAGCTTAATTAATTATTGAAAATAAATATGCAATCGGATATTAATTCAGAATTAATGTATTATTACTATATTTATAGTCCTCATCATCAAATCAAATCCATCATCATTAAATGTTAATTCTCAAAAATATCACGCTTCAAGGCCTAATTTTACGACGAGGAAGTGAAATATTGCTTGAAAGTATTTTAAACAAGAGAGTATTGTTGTTGGAATGTCAAAAAATATGCTAGTGGGATATGTTGTGTAATAAAAATTTTTAAAATTATTGTCATAGAGTGCTGTACACGTGGCGGCAGAAATAGGTTGATCACTTAGGGTGACTTTTATATTAATATTAACTAGAAGAATTTAATTAGTCCAAAGCCAATCTAATGTTGTGAAACTATTATACACCCTGTTATAATGACATGTCGGAACCAATCAAAATTATACTGATCATTTCTGAAAATCAATTAATTACGAATGAATAGAAGCCCGATTGTTATTTTAATTAAAACCACAATTAATTCATCTCTGTGCCAATGTTTGACTGTAGGGCTGTAGATCCAAAACCAATTATTTTTAATTGTTGGGAAAATATCCAATGACAAATAGAAGGATCCTATATAATAGAAAATATTTCAATCAATCGAAATAATGAAATCAAAATTTTGATCAATGGATTATCTTTTTCTTCACCATTAGCAGCAGAAGAATATATTTCGATTGATAATGGAGCGGAAGGTAATGAAATCGTAACAGAAGAAGAAACTGGCAAAAATGGTAAATTAACGTCTAAAACTTCTTCAACAAGGTGATATTGAAATGAACAAACTACAACAAATCTAAAGCTTTAAATCATTAAAAAGAAACTTTGTTAAATAACTTGCAGATTGGTTTAATAACTGCTAAATAACTGATCAGCAAGTTAATTTATGCAACATGTCCCGTATAATAGTAGATTTATAAGACAAAGAATTTAAATCATCAAATAACATACTCACATTTTTTGTAAAATATAGGAAAATTTTAATAGTATATATTCATGAGCCATTACTAAAATCACAATTTATTATAATTGTGCAATTTTTATTAATTTCCGTTTGTAAATAAAAAAAAAATTTCAAAACTTGAAAAAGTTTCGGGTTCACTTGGATTAATTTGGAGCTTCAATAATAATACCATCTTCAATAAAAGATAATATATTTTAAATGACGTACATGGATCCTGAAATATTATTATATGTTAATAAAGCACAACTTTGCGATGACGAAGCTCGCCTTCTTTTCAATCCTCCTTGTCAACTCTATTTGCAAATCATTGGATTTATTTCGCCTAATCCTAATAACGTTAATTCTATAGATATCCCAAAATCTCAAAACGCTTTTCTCTTATACCGCAAAAATTATGCTGCAAAACGTAAATCTCTTGGGTGTAGAAAGAATTGGAAAATTATTTCAAAGGAAGCCGGAGATGCCTGGAAGAAGGAATCGGACAAAGTAACTTCTTACTTTAACATATTAGCAAGGCTGGCCCTTGAAAAACATAAATCAATTTACGAAAGTGTCATTCTGGGAAATCAACTACCAAAAAAATTTATCTTTGTTACTCAACAACAACCGGAACCACAAAAAGAAAATTCTTATAAAACCAATGTTAACTATTGCACGATTTCATCATCACCTTCTCCACCTTCTTCTTTCTCTTCTTTCCCTTGCACAAATGATAACCCAAGCTCGTCTTATCAACAACCAGAGCCACAGCAAAAACAAATAGATAATAATAATAATAATGCCGATAATGTAGTTTCATTATCACATCCTTCTCCTTCCTCTTCTACTTTTTTGCACACAAATCATAATGCAAGCTCGTTTTATCAACAGTCAGAACTACTACAAAAACAAGAAGAAAAATTTAAAGGCTGTTACTCTGCACAATGCAAGTATTGCACAAAAAGGTTTAGTCATGGATAACCACAAAAACTTTTATCACATTTAACAAATCATTGTCCTGGCTGTACTCATGAAATTAGAAAAGAATGTCTAAGGCAAATAAAATGATGATAATAACAATGAAAATTTAGAATCATTAACAACTCAACAGCCAATTTCAAATTTTATTAAAGCACGCATTGTTGACAAAAAAATGCAATGATTCTATTAATTGGGCATTAATCAAAGCATTTCTTTGCTGTGGAATTTCTTTTTCAGTTTTCAGTAATCCATACTTTATAGATCTTCTTCAACAACCCTGTCCTGAATATCAACCACCATCTAGGAGTGTTTTATCTGGAAAATTTCTTGATATCGAAATATCTAATTTCAATAATAAATTGAATTCAATATTAGAAAATAACAAAAACCTATCCCTTAAACGGTTTTTCGGCTATTGATAGCCGAAATTTTTTTTCTGTTATAAAAAACTTTTTCTGAATGTATTAATTCCTAATACGAAAATGATCTTTGGGATTCAGCTGTTTGATATGTGAATAAAAATTCGATTGTTGTTCTTCAGTGTTGCGACCCGAAACTCTGAGTTTAGGGAAAACCAGAAACAGAAACTAACAGAAACCACCCGAAACTAGTTTAGGTTAGTAG